CTTGAATCCAAACAGGAATTGAGATGATTCAAAATTTAACTTCATTTCCTATAGGAACTGGTTTATTTCTGATTTGCCCTTATCTTACAATACCAATTGAAATATTGAGCTTTCACCAGGGTTTCTACTTTTCAGTTGTGCATAAAGTCTGCTTTTCTGTCACCTTACATTTGTAAGTCTGTGGAAAGTCCTGCTCACCTCTCTCTTCCAGTACAAGCAGATATCCTTTGGGGAATGCTTCTCCAGTTGCTGGACTCAGCTTTCTGGGCTTCCCTTTATGCCAGAGCTTGGCTTCATAGTTCTTCATTATCTTAATTACTCTGTGGATATTTTGATAAAATATTTTTTCATAATTTTCTAGTTGTCCTCAATAAGATGTATAGGAAAGAATATATAGTTTACCACTGTAATTTACAAAGTGTTTTGCTTATGCTTGCACATGCCTAATATATTGTTCAGTTTTATCCCCTATTCTTTCTTTTTATTTTTTTAAATGTTTATTTATTTTGAGGGAGAGAGGGACAGAGTTTGAGAGGGGAAGAGTCAGAGAGAGAGGGAGATACAGAATCCAAAGAAGGTTCTAGGCTCTGAGCTGTTAGCACAGAGCCTGATGTAGGACTCAAACTTACAAACCCTGAGATCATGACCTGAACCAAAGTAGGACACTTAACTGACTGAGCCACCCAGGTGTTCCATAGCCCCTATTCTTTTAATCTGCTTTTCATATTTACTTAATCCTTTCATGTTTTTACTTTGTGAGTTATTTCCTCTTGTCCGTATTCCAAATGACTAATTCTCTCTTCTCCCTGTTCTAATTGGCTTAGACCATAATTTTTTATTACCAAGAATGAGTTGGTGATACATTTGATTTCTCTCTTTTTAAAGTTTATTTATTTATTTTTAGAGAAAGAGACAGAGATAGAGAGAGAGAGAGCATTAACAAGTGGGGGAGGAGCAGAAAGAGAGGCTCCATTCTGTCAGTGGGCTATCTCAGACTCTTCCCCTCTCACACTTTTTACTTTTTGAAGAAGTAAAGTAATCAAATGCTTTGAATCCGTTTAATCTTATGAGATTTAATTGAATAACTAGTTTTTATTTTTATGTGAAAGCTCTATACAAATAGAAATTAATTTAGGAAATTAAATCTTTTAGATTCATGGGTTCAAAACTTTTTGACTATGATTCAGAATGTGAAATGTTTATTTGTCTTATAACATATAATGTATTTACATACTTTAAAATATTGAACAAAAGTTCAAGAAATAATACTTAACCATTTAGAATTTATTCCATATATATTGCACCCAATGTCATGATGAACCATCTCTACTTTTTCTATTATTCTATTCTATTCTATTCTATTCTATCCTATCCTATTTCTTTATGTAATGCTAAGAATAATACTAATTCTATTTTTCAATTTTCTAATGGGTCACAACCAGTAGTTTTGAAGATACTACCTTATTAAAATAAGTATATTTGAATTACATATTGAACTACAGATATATTGAATTATATATATTACTCATATAGAATATTATTCCTTAGTGATATAAACACTTTCAATTATCAATAAAGAACTGCGAGTCATGGTTGAAATATGAAAAAAATTTACACAAATGGAGTTCATTACCTTGATAATTTTAGACATGCAGATGCATTAGATCTCTTATGTTGTTGTAATTCATCTGTAAGCAGTTGTGTATCCTTAAAGTACTAATACATCATAAATAAGGTTTTACACTATCCATCCATGCTAAAAATCCTTATGCAACATATGTTCCTTATAATTTACATTTATAAACTGTCTTTTTCTGACATTCTTTGAATCTGTTCCACCTCACCCCAATAAGCACAGAACATTTCAACAAATGTATGCTTTGCCCTTTGAAAAGATGGCTGAAACTAACATAAAGACTTATATAGACAGTTAAAATAACTTTTTCAGTAGGGTGCAATGTTCAAAGCTCATACCCTGTAAATGCCAAGTTTATTTCATAATTAGTTTTATAGTTTATGAATGCTGAAAGAGTTGAGAGGACATGGATTTCCCTTAAAATGTTTATAGCTTCTAACTTCTCTGATGTATCTTTGTGCATCCAGCCAGTATTCTCTCATGTAGATCATAGACAGATCTATGCGCTTCGAATGATATTTTGCATTTCCACGTTAGGAGGCATTATGAAGTGCTATTGAAAGCAATGTTTCATGTAAATATTATTAAAATGGACAGAAATTGACAGTTTATGTTCACACAATATAAGTCCGTAATGACTGATGTTCAATATAAATGGATTCCCATTAGGTTTGTATTTTCTCCAATACCTATATTGGAAACTCAATTAAAATTACAGAAGCCTCTGCTGTATACATTTGCATCATATCTTCTTTGACAGCAGATTTTCACTATGAGTAATACAAGTAAATATTTTAAAAATATTTTTCAACAATGTTAACATACATTCCAGAACAACAAATGCTATATAAATAATATATTAATAGATACAAAAACAGAAAAAGAAAGTGTCTTTATCTGCATATTTTCTAATTAAAAATCAAATGTCAAAGTTAAATTTTTTGCCTGCTTATTTGTCATGCTATAACTAAATTTTTTAAAATATAATTCTAAATAATTTTAAATGTGAGATAATTTTTGACATATGAATTAGTTGTTCATGATAATGTATATGTGTGAGTTGGCTTTTGCAGTAAATTTAGAGAGAATTTATTGGAATGGTCTAGTTATGTCATATTATCATCACTCTTACTGTCACCCTAAAGAATAATGTTTTGAAAACAAAAGAGCAGTGTGGAATGTTCCTTTGGCAGTACTCTTCTATTATTTATTATAAATCATGTTAATTTGCTTAACATTGGATACTGAAGTTAAGAATTAAATTTTCAATATAAACTTTGAAATGATAACAGAGAATTCATTTTAAGAGAAAATAATTATATTATAGTAATTATGGACCAATTTTTCCATTGTGGCTGTGTATAGTAAGTATGCTTTGATTTCCTTATCCAGCTAGAATTCTTTAATAAACTACGTATTTATTCCTAACAGTAGTAGAAGATACTAAATTAAAATCATGTACTGTTATGATAACTATGCCCATTATTATTAAAAGGTAAAAATACATATTATTCTATATGAATAAAAAATACATATTTTACTCTTGATAAAGAAAATAACCCAATTTCAGGTGTCAATATTTAAGAAAAAAACATTGAATGAGATCACAGTTCTTCAATGTCAAATGAAGTGTCAAATGAAAATGCTGAAGCATTTTGTTGAAGAATAACTTACTTAAAGTGCACAAATTCTATGTCATATATCTTTGTACATGTCCACAAATTGAACACATCTGTGTAGCCAGTTCTTTAAACTGAAACACAGAAAATTACCACCCATAAAGCTCATATCATGCTTTCTTCCAGAACTATCCACTACTGCTCATCAGCACACTGCAAGATTAACTACTATCTCCATTTATGACGCTGGATAACTTCTTTATGCACTCCCTAAGATCGAATCTGTCTTCCAATAGAAACTATTAGCTTTCTTGGAGGAGAGGGTGATGTCCATTCATATCTTCTGCCCATTTTTAATTGCATTATTCATTTTTAAAAATTTCATTTAAATCCCATTTAACTAGCATACAGTGTAATATTAGACTGATGTGTACAATTTAGTGAGTCAACACTTCCATACAACACCTGGTACTCATCACTATGAGTACATTCCTTAATCCTCATTGCCTATTTAACTCATCCCTCCTCCCACCTCCTCTCTGGTAACCATCAGTTTGTTATTTATAGTTAAAAGTCTGTTTTGTGGTATGCCTCCCTTTATTTTCCCTTATGATTATTTGTTTTGTTTGTTAAATTCTACATAGGAGTGAAGTTATATGGTATTTGTTTTTCTCTGACTGACTTACTTTGCTTAATATGATGCTGTCTAGCTCCTTCCACATCATCACAAATGGAAAATTTTAATTCTTTTTATGGTTGAGTAATATTCCATTGCGCACACACATGCGTGCACATACACACACACACATATGCACATAGACACACACACACATAGACACACACCCATACTACTTCTTTATCTATTCATCAGTTGATGGACTGATGAAACTTGGGCTGTTTCCATAATCTGATTTGTGTAGACAATGCTCTTATATGTATCAGGGTGCATGTATCCCTTTGAATTAGTACTTTTGTATACTTTGGGTAAATACCTAGTGGTACAATTGCTGGACCATAGAGTGAGAGACCTAAATGTGATACCTGAAACCATGAAAATCTGAGGAGGATACAGGCACTGACCTCTTTGACATTAGCTGTAGCAAGTTCTTTCTAGGTATGTCTTCTGAGGCAAAAGAAACAAATGCAATAATAAACTATTGGGACTTCCTCAAAATAAAAAGCTCCACAGGGAAGAAAACAATCAACAAAACTGAAAGGAAACCAATAGAATGGGAGAAGATATTTGCAAGTGACATATCTGATAGAGGGTTAGTATTCAAAACATATAAAGAAATTATCAAAGTCAAAACACAAAAAATGGGTAATCCAATTGAAAAATGGTCAGAAGACATGAATAGACATTTTTCCAAAGAAGACATCTAGATGGCTAACAGGCACATGAAAAGATGTTCAACATCACTCATCATGAGGGAAATGCAAATCGAACCACAATGACATACCACCTCACACCACTCAGAATGGCTAAATTAACAACACAAGAAATAACAGGTGTTGCTGAGGATGTGGAGAAATGGGAACCCTCTTGCACTGCTGGTGGGAATGCAAAGTGATACAGCTACCCTGAAGAAGAGTATGAAGGTTCCTCAAAAACTTAAAAATAGAACTACCCTAAGACCCAGAGATTGCACTCTAAGTATTTATCCAAAGAAGCCATTAGATGTTAAAATGTGTTGATATTTGTGCTGATAACTTTTCATTGAATGCTATTACTTTTCATTGAATAGGTCCAAAGTGGTACCCTTCTCGAGTTGGCCTGCAACTAGAACGAGGTCAGAATCAAGTTTTATTGATCTATTTTTTAAATTTGGAATCCCATTTCTGTCATCAATAGCTAATATTTATTTATCACTTATTAAATGGCAGGCATATTTCCTGCCAAAATATATGTGTCAGTATACTTGTACTGTTAGCAATGACATCATACAAATTTAGTCTTTTATGGTTTCCTTGCACAAATGACACCACTAAAACTAAAGAAAATAGTAAACATTGCTTTTTATTGGCAAAAGAGCAAACATTTATTTAAGCTTAGTGGTTGTGCTGGGCTGAGCTAGACTTGACCTTACTTGGGTAGGTTCACTCAAGCAGCTGCCATCAGCTGGTAGGTTCTTGGTGACTGGCTGGTCTAGGATGGTCTTTACATCAGCCAATCAAATCCTCTCTGGTGTATGTAGTTTCTCATGCTTCAACGGAATATCTTGGGCTTGTCCTCATGGTGGAATCAGGGCAGACAAATGAATACAAGAACTCAAGGGTTGTTGAGGCCCAGGTTTGGAAGTGTCATATGATCCTTGCCCTACATTCTGTTAGTTAAATTGAGTGACTAGGCTAACCCATATTCAAGGGAGTGGAGAAATAGACACCAAGAGTTAATAGAAGGTACCTAAACTCATATTGCAAATGGTGTGGATATGGGAATAGTAAAGAACTGTGGTTTCTATAATAAATCTGTCATACAAACTGGTAATTAAAATGTGTTCTCTCTTCCTACCTTGATTAATATACTTAATAATGTTCTGAAATCACAGAATTAAATTTCTAATTATTAAAATCATTGGATTTCTACAGAAAGGTGAAGAGTTGGCCCTTTCCTTCCCATTTCTGGCTCCCACCATCCACACCCTTTATAGAACAGCTTTGATGCGTGTCTAGGTACATACCCTAGAGTCTGGTCCATTTTGGAGAAGAAATGCCCAAGAAAGATTATTGTTTTTAAATTAATTTGGACAGGAAATTCAGGGGCCAGAAGCATAGCATGATATATGCTGAAGCATGATACAGATGACATCAGCTTCTGTTTTAGGCATATTTTCTTGACCCTACATATTCCTCTCCCTTTGGAAAACATAGAGGGGCACCTTGGTGGCTCAGTCGATGAAACATCTGACTTTGGCTTGATCTCGCGGTTAGTGGGTTCGAGCCCTATGTAGGGCTCTGTGCTGACAGCCAGCTCAGAGTCTGGAGCCTGTTTCAGATTCTGTGTCTCCCTCTCTGTCTGACCCTCCCCTGCTCATGCTCTCTCTTTCTCTGTCTCTCTGTCTCTCTTTCTCTCTCTCTTTCAGAAACAAATAAAAAACATTAAAACAGTTTTTAAATAAAAACAAGGAAAACATACATATACATAGAAGGCCAGGGGCAAAGTTCCTGGATTACTGAGTCTGAATGGTATTATTAATGTTATTCCTGGATTTTCTCTAGTCCTTCTATTCAAATATCACATTGATGGGACATTTTAAAAATATGACAATAAAAATTAAAAATAATAGAAAGATGCCAATGCTCAGTTCCTTGAAGTCATCAAGTGATACAGGAGTAGAAATGAATCTCCTTGTCAAAGGTGTCAATATATAGGTCTACGTTGGAAAGATGTTTTCATCATTTTTTTGGTGTTACAAAGATATCATATTTTTTTGTCCTTACTACCATTTCCTGTTCTCATACATGATTGTCAAGATGTTATTAACCATTTTATATCAGTCTTTACCTAGATCTATGTTGCATTAACTTCCTACTGCTGTGTAACAAATTACAACAAACTAGCTTAAAATAACACTCATTTGTTAGTTTGAAGATACAGTATGGCTGGCTTTTCTGCTCAGAATATCACAAAGCTGAAATCAATGGGTTGGTCGAGCTGAATTCTCATCTCAAGACATTTAGAAAATTCTATTTTCATCTTCATTCTTGTTGTTTGAAGAATTCATGTATTTTTGTGGTTATATGACAGAAGTTCCTATTTCCTTGCTAGTTGTCACATCCTATAGGCCATTTCAATTCCTAGTGACTACTTGCATTCCTTGCCATGGGCCTTCTCCATCTTCCTCCCAGAAATCCTTCTAGTACTTTATTCCTCATATGCCAGTACTTTGAAGCTGAATTCCTCCCCCTTATCTACTCATGCAGATTTAAATAATACACAATTAACAGACTCACTTAAATAATTTCTCTTATGAAGCCACATAGCATAACCTAATCAAGGGAATGACAGCCTGTCATATTCATATTGGATTTATCAAATACAATCTTCAAAATAAATATATAACAATTGTATATCTTATCTTACTTTAATATACCTGTAATTATAAATTAATGTATTGGATTCTGAAAATCATCTAAAATAGTCATAAGTTAACATTCAATATGTCTTGCAAAAATAGAGAATAGAATAACACTTTTTCATAATTGAGGATAATATAAATCACAAATTAGCATAAAGAATAATATAAACAAAACAACAACAATGGCATTAATAATAACATTATACTTGTGAGATTCATCAGCTTCAGTCCACTTTTTTTTCTGTATGGTATATCTTTGAATAAAATATATTATATTTACCATTATCTCATTTATGAACATTTAAGTCTTTACAATTGTTTTGCAATTATAAATAATGCTAAAAAGAGTATCTTTGTGACATATCTTTCAGTACACACATGCCAGATTTATCTACTGTTTATTAACAAGGGCATATTTCCTTTACATGTCTTATAAGACACCAGTTATGTTTATGTTCTTATTTCATGAGAAACTCCTCAGCAATCTTTGCTGTATGTTTCTTTTATTACTTTGAAAGCCTGGAGTGCTAGAAACCTGTCTCTGTTTCCATTCTTTTTTCAAACTGAATACATAAATAATCTCATCAAGCAGCATGGCTTTAAATGTTAATGACTTTCAAATATCTACAGAAATACTTACCCAACCGCCTATTTGACAGCTCCTACTTGAATGTCTAATAAATATCACACAGTTAACATGTCCTAACTTAAATCTTAATTCCCCCACCCTCCAATCCTGCTCCTTCCCCAGTTGTCTTCCTACCAGTTAATGAAATTATAATGCACCTAAGTACTCAAGCCAAAAATCTAATAGCTGTCTTTATTTCACTGATATATTCTCCTCTCAAGTTGAACCCTTCTCTGTGTTCAAAACATACCTGAAATTGATGCATTTTCAACATTTCTATCAGTGCCATCTTAATCCAAAAACTCCCCAGCTTAATGAGTGTGAAGTCCTCCCAAGTAATCTTGCTTATCTTCCTCCCAGTTTCCACACAGCATCCATAGAGATCTTCTAAAATATACATCATGTCACTCCATTTGTGCTTTGCAATGACCACTAACATTTATTCACTTTAATTTATCATATAAAAAACCATTTGGAGAACAGATGACATCTATGTCCACTGATACCCTAAATTATACTGTAAGAATGCCTTGTATTATATTTGATTATGATATTATCTAATATTACATTTTCTCACAACACACCAAGATAGTAGCTTGTGGTGGTCTGAGCTTTGTTTGGGTAGAGGATAGGAAACCACCATACATGTGAAAAATGGTGATATTATTGATAGGTTTGTTTACATTTTACTTTAAGTCCTCATATTGAAATTTCTATGTATAATTTATCTTTAGCTTTTACTGGTTTCACATTAAAAATTGCTTTTTAAAAAATCACTATGCCTTGAAATTGTAGTAAATTAATATTTCCTTATTATTTAAGGTGGACCCTTTTTGAAGGACTACATAACCATTCAAAGCATTGCAGCTTCTTCCATTGTCACTCTCTATTTTACAGACCTAGGTCAACAGGTCAGTTGGATTACAGTAAGTATCAGTTTAAAATGCAATATACATGTCCCACATTTTGATGAGAATAATTTGTCAGAAGGACAGTTGTTATCAAATAAATTCATAATGAAATGAAATACTATGTGAATGGCATTTTAAGTTTTCCATGCTTACTAGGATTAGTGACCAAAATTTTACACAAGAATTAGAGCAATGGAAATGCTCAATTGGTAGAAGGATAAATTCTTCTTTTAAATGTCTATCTATCCTATGACTGATGGCCCTATTTCTGCTTCCTCTATGCTGTGTTATTTAAATGGTGTTTCTTTAGCTCTTTCCTCTAGGAACTTGGGAATATGAGGACTTTTGACATTGGAAAGAGAGGAGATAGAATATTCAATAGCAAAATGTTCTAAGGCAAGGGGAAGAGATTTTGGAAAATCAGAATGAACTAATGAGGCATCTTTGAGTTAGGAGATTGTGGCATACTTTTGGTTCTCCTTGAAGGAGCAGCTTTCCAAGTGGTGGCAGCTGAATCCAGTGGCATTATAAGAATGAAGAATACATTAAAAGACACGTAGGACTGGAGCACCTGGGTGACTCAATGGGTTGAGTGTCCGACTTCAGCTCAGATCATGATCTTGCATTTGTCAGTCTGAGCCCCACAGCGGGCTCTATGCTGACAGCTCAGAGCCTGGAGCCTGCTTCAGATTCTGTGTATCCCTCTTTCTCTGCCCCTCCTCTGCTCACACTTTGTCTCTCAAAAAATAAAATAAAGTGTTAAAAAAATTTTAAAGACATGTAGGGCTAAGAAACAGAGAAAATACTTTAGCACTAGTTCACAAGCATTGAACTATTCTTGAGTAGTGGAATAGACCGATGGAATAGCTTCAGTAGCAATTTCCACTTAGGAAATACTAAGTAATATTTAGTAACAGAGGCAGTAAAGAGTTAATTTGATAGATAATTCTGATACTCATATACAAATAATAGTACAACCATTCTATTTTTCAATTCAATTATTTTATTCAATTATTGTTTAGAATTAAAAAATTTTTCTGATTAAATTTTATTCCATATTTGTGATGTGATTGCATTTTTGATATTTTCTGTATTGATAGCGTTCCTTTTTGCCATCATTAACAATCAGCATTATCATAGGCAGTGCTTTAAGCTTTCCCTTTAGACTTAAGCATTCAATTTTTAAAATTATTCCAAATACAGGACAATTAATTCATTATTATTTAATTCTCAAATGGAGAAATTCAAGTTTGCATTTATTACTTAAAATATTGTCACATCTTTGACTTTTCTAACAATCTCTCCTTTAATATGCATTATCGCATTATCTCCCTATATTTAGATTCTTATTTATATTTTAATGTTATTAGTTAAATAGTTGCTTTAGTTTTTCAAAGTTTGTTGGTTCAGCTTTTGAATACTAATTTGTTGTACAAAAACACTGAGTTTAGAGAATTCTGAATCCTTGTGAAGTGTAATGTTTATAAAAGAACCTATTAATGCATCCATTATGTAAGCAAAGAGTTGAATACTCAAATGTGTTATCAACAGACCTTTACTAAAGTAGATTTTAGACAAGCAGATTCTGATTTTCAAAGGTTAAAATATTCATAGCTTTTGTCCACGTTTATGATGAAAAGGAAATTTTGTCTACAGAGGTTGTGTCAGGACGAGTGGCATTAATGGTGAGTTCATTAAAAATTCCAGCTGCATCATTTGGATAAGCACTGAGCAGAGAAAAGTGCTAAGGTGGAACTCTAGGACAATTGTACTAGAAAATTATAGCTTATTTGAGAGGAAAGTCATTTAGGTGACAAAGAGAACTCTGGAAATAGGATGAATATTTTTAAATCAAACCTATGGTTCACATAATCTTTTGCTCCAAATGAGTCAGTCCTATTAAATGCTAAAAATATACACATTACATTGCAATCACACCCACTTTATATCAACTAAATTATATAATCAAAGCTATATTTTACTGCAGCTAACATTCTAATACATTTATAAAACATTAAAATGTGCTTCTATAATAAAGACATTATCACAAGATTGGGTTTTTTTGTTTTTGTTTTTTGTTTTTGTTTTTTTAGAAACAATCTCTTTATCAAGGTCAAAATTAAGATTTTAACAATATTTTTAATCAAGTAAGAGTGTGCTGTCACAGATTATTAAGAAAACACTTGCCTCATTGAACTTAATGAAAGACTTAGGATAAAGGGTTAATATAATCCTCATTATATAGATGCTATTAACTAAATATCCAATTCACTTTTCACCATTTTTATGTTCACTCGTGTGTATGCCTATAGTTCTGTGCAATTTATCTCTTGCAAAGATTCGAGTATCTAAAACCACAATCAGATACAGAATCGTTCCATTGTCACAAAGAAACTCTCTCATATCATTCCTCTATATTTACACACTCTTTTCTCTACCCTGAGGTAACCACCGACCTGTTTTTTATTTATATATTTTTGTCATGTGGCAAATGCTATAAAAGAATTAAACAAGTTCTTTTGTTAGACTGATGTTTAATTTTCTTTAAGTATATTGCCTTTGGGATCCACCCTATCTGTTGTATCTATCGATACTCAGTTCTTTATATTGGGAGTAGTATGTGGTTGTATGAATGTAGCAGTTTGTTTATCCATTCACCCAGTGATAGGCATTTGGGTGCTTTCAATATTTTGCCATTACAAATAAAGCTATTATCTATTTTTGTGTAGGTATGTGTATAAACATATGTTTTTATTTATCTAGCACATACAAAAATATCTTTTATATTCTAGATAAAGTCCTTTGTCTGATAAGTGTTTTGCAAATATTTTGTACAGCTTTTAGTTTGTCTTTTCGTTCCTTTAATGAGATGTGTGTTTTTCTTTTCTTTGCAAAAAGTTTTCAATTTTAATGCAGTTTAAGTTGTCAATGATTTAAAGATCGGGTCTTTGCTGTCATATGTAAGAACTCTTTGTCTTACCCTAGGTCTAGGAGCTTTCTTCTATGTTTTATTTTAATGGTTTAATAGTTTAATGTTTTACATTTTAATCATAGTCTATTTTCATTGTAAAGGATATTTAATTTTATCACCAAACTTAATATTTTCTTTCAATTTGCCTCATGTGTTCTATAATCTTTATTTTCCTTTCTCATTTGGAATTGTCATACTTTATTGTCTATTAGAATTTCTATTATTTTAGTTATATCTTCTTTTTTACTAACTCTACTGGTTACCCAAAGGATTATAATGTACATCTTTAAAATATTGAACACTAATATAAATTGTTGATTTTGGGTTTACTGGTGTGAAGATTCTTCATAGATTATTGAATGACTTTATGATATTTGACCTCTTTATGACTCATCTTCTATTGTTGTGGTATATTTTAATTTTCTAGGTAAATTTTAAGTAAAAATCCACTATTATATATTTTTAAAAATTTTTAATGTTTATTTATTTTTGAGAGAGAGAGAGACAGAGTGCAAGCAGGGAAGGGGCAGAGAGAGAGGGAGATACAGAATCTGAAGTAAGCTCCAGGCTCTGAGCTGTCAGCACAGAGCCCTACGTGGGGCTTGAACTCACAAACCATGAGATCATGACTTTAGCCAAAGTCAGACACTTAATCGACTGAGCCACCCAGGCACCCCAACTGCTATAATTTTATATGGCCAATATTTATTTAGATTTATCATTTTCACTGTAATTTACTTAGCCCTTCTAATGCTGTTCTTATATCTGTGATCATTATCATTCTTCCCGAAGAATATTTTCACTGCTTTATTCTAGTTCTGTCATATTCATTTAAAATATATTCATTTAACTTTTCTTTTTGGAAAATATTTTTATGGGAAAAATAATTCCATATTGACAGTTATATTTGTCTTCACTTCACAAAATTTCATTATTTTGACATTTGAGTCCCATGTTTTTAAAAGTTCACTGCACTCTTTTAAGTTAATGTGTCTTTTCTCTGGCTCATATGAAATTTGTCTTCTGTTTGATTATCGCTGTTGGACAATGATGCACACAGTTATGATTCTGGTTCTATTTATCCTACTTTGGGTTTAGAGTGTTATCTGAGTCTTCTGTTTTCTATAAATATTTAATTTGAAAATTATCATAATCCCATTAACAGTTGTTTTTCCATTATTCTCTTTATATTCTCTTGGGATACATTTCCATTTCCATTTTTTTTTCAGACATTTCAACTATCTGCTGAAATTCTTAACCTTGGTTTTTATTTCTTTGAACATATAAAAGATCATTTTTAATTTATTTTTATTTTTAAATATAATTTATTGTCAAATTGGTTTCTATACAACACCCAGGGCTTATCACAGCAAGTGCCCTCCTCAATGCCCATCACCCGCTTTCTCTTCTCCCCCGCCCCCTATAAACTCTCAGTTTGTCCTCAGTATTTAAGAGTCTCTTATGGTTTGCCTCCCTCCCTGTCTGTAACCTTTATCCCCTTTCTTTCTCCCATGCTTTTCTGTTAAGTTTTTTCTTTTTTTTTTTAATTTTTAATGTTTCATTTATTTCAGAGAGAGAGAGAGGAGAGAGAGAGAAAGTGTGAGCAGGGGAGGGTCAGAGAGAGAGGGGGGTACAGAATCTGAAACAGGCTCCAGACTCTGAGCTAGCTGTCAGCACAGAGCCCAACGCGGAGCTCGAACCCACCAACCGTGAGATCGTGACCTGAGCCGAAGCCAGATGCTTAACCTGCTGAGCCACCCAGGTGCCCTAAGTTTTTCATGATCCACATATGAGTGAAAACATATGAGATCTGTCTTTCTCTGACTGACTTATTTCACTTAGCGTAACACCCTCCAGTTCCATCCATGTTGCTTCAAATGGCCAGATTTCATTCTTACTCATTGCCAAGTAGTATTCCATTGTATATATAAACCACATCTTCTTTATCCATATGTCAGTTGATGGACATGTAGGCTCTTTACATAATTTGGCTATTGAAGATCATTTTTTAAAAAATTTTATTTATTTCTAGGAGAGAGAGAGAGAGAGGGAGACAGCGTGAGCAGTGGAGGGTCAGAGAGAGAGGGAGTCACAGACTCTGAAACAGGCTCCAGGCTCTGAGCTGGCAGTCAGCACAGAGCCCGACGCGGGGCTCAAACCCACGAACCACGAGATCATGACCTAAGCAAAAATCGGACGCTTAACCGACTAAGCCACCCAGACGCCCCTTGAAGATCATTTTTTAAATGTATGTGTCTGATAAATCTATTTAGTGGATCTTCAGTTTATATGTTTCAAATATCTGCTGTTTCCTTGGATTTGATTACAGTATCTTTACTCCTGTCACACCCTTACATTTCTGACCTAGTACAGAAAAATGTGTATGGAAATCTTGTAAAGATAACTTGAGGCCTAGAGTGATGTTATCCTCTTTTTAAACTGATTTATCATGCTGCAGAAATATTAATGACATTATTTGGTCCAAGTCATCTTAGTCCAATTGATGATTGAAATGATCTCAGGTTGAGCTCTAGTACCTGTAAAGACAGATCTACTTCCGCTTCATCATTGCTTCAAGGGTGTAACTCTTCTAGGTCTCAACCTTGAGTTTTATAAGGCTCTCTCTCTGTCTTTGAAAGATGCCAACCAACAATTTTGTATTTCCATTCTCAGGCACCCTCAAAAGATTTAGTCTTCTCCTCGGGGTGCTATTAGACTTCATATCTTAGAGGTGCCTGAATGTTTCAGTCAGTTAAATGGCTGACTTCAGCTCAGGTCATGATCTCACGGTTCATGAGTTCAAGCCCCCCATGGGGAGGGTGACAGCTCAGAGCCTGGAGCCTGCTTCAGATTCTGTGTCCCCCTCTCTCTGCCCCTCCACCACTTACACTGTCTCTCTCTCTGTCTCTCAAAAAAATAAACATTAAAAAAAAAAAGACTTCATATCCTAGATTCAATCACAATTCTAGAGTCCTGTTTAAAATATCTTGACCTAATTCTTCAATGACTCAGGAGCTCTTTGAATCCTGAAAAACATTTTGATCAATTTTTCTTGTTGATCTCATTACAATGGTTTATTTGAATATCCTAGAATAAAATTCTCTATTATGTATTATTCATATAATAGTTAAATTAAGAGAAAAACTTCTTTATTATATTAGCTTCAATATTTCTCATTCAGTAAAAAGTGATATTGCTATTGGGAAATGTTCTCATAATTTCAATAACTCTCTCGTCATTAGAAGATTAAGGTTAGCATTACTTTATTTTGTCAGTAATTTTCAACAGCTATGAAATGTGCAATTTATTTTGTTTTCAACTGTCAATTGCAATTTTAAAAAAGAAATGAAGCTAATAATAATAGGACTAAAAAGTTTTTTTTTAGAAATGAAATGCATTAAATATAGTCTAAGCACAAAGATTCTAATCAATCTGCAACAATTGCAGCTGTGTGTTTCAATTTATATTTATAAAACAGCTTATTGTCTTCTTCCTTTTTCAATTCAGACATATCCCAAGTTGAATATTCCATGGAAGTTCCCCCCCAAAACTCAATTACCTAGCTTGCCTAGTATCACTGAATTTTACATTTTGAGCCATACATTAGTTCAATACAGTGAACATTCTATAAAGCAAAAGCATGAAAAAGATATTGGAAATAAGTTGGAATTTAAAAGTAGTGTGTGCGTGTGTGTGTGTGTCTTCAAAGTAAAAAGAAAGTATATCTGCTTATTTTGAATATATAATTTCCACTGAATTTTGGTTTATAATGGACTTCCTAGTCTGTAAATTCATTTGATTTGCTAAGGCTTGTAAGTGGTGTGTTTGTGTGTTTGGCTTTGGTTTTGAACTTGTTCTTGTTTAGTAGGAGAAGAAAAATTTCTTTTTCAGAAGTGTGTCTTATTAATATTTCTCTATCTGGCTCTTGTTTTTATTTATTCTAAAACTATTTTTGATTACTGTCTAGGTTTAATAAAACATCTCTCTTCCTTTTTTTATTACTTTCATCCAAATAGATTTTCTTTGAAAATGCTTTGTCCAAAAGTTATTCTTATCATTCTCTAGTGCTTTCAGGTCAGGGTACAGCCTTCATACTTTGGTACTCTTTTAACCCCCATGTTTCAGATGAACAATATTTGTGATAAAATATTGGGCCTCCTAGAACATATTACTGTAAGCTAGCAGATTCTCCTGAGTTATATTTAGGGTATGATGGAGATAAAGCCGTAGTTTAATTTCCTGATTCGAAGAAACTTCATATTTGTGATAGTATTTTTATTAACTTAATAAAGAGTGACATATGATCAAGTTTAACTATTGTTCATAACATTTTTCATTACTGACATATTACTAGAGGACTTGCCCAAAATTGACCTGACTAGATCAGATGGCATTGAAATAAATATTTTAAGCTTTTTATTGTAATAAAACAATTACTCTAATTATTCTGGAGTATTAAACAGACTCTTTTATCAGACATTCAAAAGTGGTAAACATTTTTTTCTTTACATCTAAATAATCAAGCATGTTGTATGTCATAAATTAATATAGTCTATCAGTAAAAAGTGTGTTCGACACTGAATACGTCAGATGTTGCATGTTTACCTTCATATAAAAGTTTTTCTTGACTAATGAGATGATAAATACCATTAAGTGAAAAAAATATACCTAAACATAACTACATATATTAATATTCACTTGATAAACATTTGGTCAACTTCAAAATGATACTATAGAAATGTCTATCTAAAATATTCTTTGTAGATTAAATCTTTTACTTTGGACTTTTTAGATTATTTAGGTACATTTTGGAAATTATAAACATTAAGCTTTTAGACTCAAAGATGCCATAAGAGGGAATTAGTATGTTTAATAGTTAAGAACATAAGTCTATAATGAGTTTTGACATGTTAATCCAAAAATATTTGTAATATAGATGTTGTTTGGAGTTTCTGAAAATTATTTTTCTACACTAAGTAATATTAGCCATAAAGATTGCTTTTTTTTCCTTATGGATGCATTGGATAATTTTCAGAAAATTATCAGATCATCTCTATACTTTTTCAGTTCTATACCAGAAAAAGTAAATATTTTAACTATATATATATTTTACATGTCATACCACATAATCACACACATGTGATATATATATGTATATATTAAAATGCACAAAATACATTTGTACTACATGCTACCACCCTATTGTCAGTTAGATGACACTATGACTGAAAGCTTTAATAAGAAGATTTATCTGGGAATATTTTATTTTAACCTGTTTAAAGAAAGAACTAGTATTCATTAAAGTAACTGGTAGAAAGATGAGACTGCCATGCAGGGTCAATATTGTCATATCATCAAAATGTCTTAATTTATTTTCTTGTTTTTTATTTTATTTTATAATATTTATACACATACATATATACATATATAATTCTATATATATGAATATATCATATATTCTAAAGATGAAGTTATATAAAATTCTTACACAAGAACATAATTTCTAATCAATGTGCACACCTGCATATTTGAGTAAAATGTGAAGCTTTAAGCTTTCTTTCTTAGAAAACAATGAAAATTGGCAAAGACAAAGCAAAGCAGAATGGTAGTTGAGTTTATCATTGTCATGTTTGTATCTTTTCTCTTTGAACACTCAGAGGTAAAATATTTTCCTTTTTCTGTCTGAAATTCCAGAGTGACTTTAACCTGGTTTTAACATAAAAAAAAAACAACAAATAATGGACAGTTAGAAGATTTAGAAAACATTCAGAAAACCAGTCAGCCAGTGAACCTTTATGCAATCAAACAGACTTGTTTCCAATTATCTTTCCAAGTCTTATGATTATTTCTCTATAGCTCAGGTATCTCTCTCCACGTATATGGTTGACTTTCAGCTTCAGAATTCAGAAGGCAATCCTTTTAACTACCTACTAAGACTCATTAGAATTAAGGCCTAAAATTTCCAAAAGAGATAACTAAATTATTTCTATTTGAATCAGTGTCAAATCAGTTGAATTTGAGATGACACAGCCATATAAAGATTAAAAAAAAAAAAAAAAGACTTACTGTAGCCAATTCCATTCAGTGACAGGACATTTCACATAGAAGATGGAATGTGTATGGGGTTGAGGAAACACAAAGAAATAGGTTTATAATAGTTTGGTTAATTAAATAAAAAATCATTTGTGAAGAAATCATTACATTAAATTGAATGGTTTTATTTTAAACATTTTATTTTTTATGTTTATTTTATTTATTTCTGAGAGAGAGACAGCGTGAGCAGAGGAGGGTCAGAGAGAGAGGGAGACACAGAATCTCAAACAGGCTCCCGGCTGGCTGATAGCACAGACCCCGACACGGGGCTCAAACCCACGAACCATGAGATCATGACCTGAGCCAAAGTCAGACGCTTAACCTACTGAGACACCCAGGCACCCCGAATGTTTTTATTTTAAATTCGCCATTTATAATTGTTCTTTCCATAAGTCTTGACTTGTTAATTTTGTTAACACACAGTCTAATTCATTTTAAATAATAGATAATGCTACCTGTCCAATTTACCAGTTCATTCAGTAGGCTGCCTGTGGACATGTTTATTATGTTTACATGTACATCTTAATAACATTATATAATTTTTTTTTATACCACCTTCTTACTTTCAGATATTTTTGGCTGAATACACAGGACCCTTGCTGATATATCTCCTCTTTTATTTGAGGATCCCATACATATATGACATGAAAGAGAGCGCTAGAAGATTGCGCCACCCAGTGGTACAGTAAGTAATACATATTGTATCTATAGGTTAAGGAGGAGATAAACTATTACACAGATATTATTGTTAAAGATGTTTATAAACTCAAAGTGGATTACAGTTAAAGAAATATATTTTAAGTAACTTTAAATAATGTATATATACCAACTTGCAAATTTATATACAAGGAACTATTAAGTATATCTTAAAATTGAGGTAATATAAGTTCATAATGATAACAGTAAAAGAAATCTGGAAATTTAGAAATATCACAAAAAGTTTAAAATTATAAAGCTGAGAGGTCATATATAGGGCTCAAGATATAATACTAAATAAAAAAATAAAATAAAATAAAATAAAATAAAATAAAATAAAATAAAATATATACTTCTCTAAAAATATGGGCAACATTTATAAGAAAGAAACAATGACATATAAACAGGAAAAAAGGTTTTGATTTTTTTCTGTTTGTTTGTTATTTTGAGAGAGAGACAGAGTGGGGGAGAGGCAGAGAAAGAGGGAGACACAGAATCCAAAACAGGCTCCAGGCTCTGAGGTGTCAGCACAGAGCCTGACATAGGGCTCAAACTCATGGACCATGAGATCATGACCCGAGCCAAAGTCGGACACTTAACTGACTGAGCCAGACACTTAACTGACAGGCACTCTCCCAATAAAAGTTTTATAAGTTACCTTTAGTTGGTCAAAATCCAAAATTAAATTCTACTTTAAACTAAAAAAGAAATATAAAATACAAAAAAAGATGAGGGCAGTTAGCAAAGCAGAATACATAGCATACTGTGAAAATAATCTTTCTCTCTCTGTCTTTTCTCTGTCACTCTCTCTGTTTTCTCTATTCTTAAAGAAAAAGAATAATTATTTAAGATGCTACACTGAGATGTAGTGTTAGCAATTTGTTAAGAAAATAAAAAAGAGCTTGATTTAATCACTAAACTCTAAGTGAATTAAGAAACAAAATTTAAGGAAAGCCTAAATTCAGGGGAGCCTGGGTGGCTCGGTCATTTGAGCATCTGACTCTTGATTTCAGCTGAGGTCATGATTTCACAGTTTGTTAAGATCAAGCTCCATCCACCTGGGACTTTGACTGTGTGGAACCTGCTTGAGATTCTCTCTCTCCCTCTCTCTCTGCTCCTCCCCAACTCTCATGTGCTCTCTCTCCTTCTCAAAATAAATAAATAAACTTTTTTAAGAAAGATGCAAAATTTGGGTCATAGGAATACTAAAAGATAGAGAATGACTTGACTCCTGACTTTCTCATCTCAAACCAAGCTTTCTGTTACCCTTAATTTCTGTGCCACAACCACACTGATCTTTCCTGTTCTGATACTTACCATGTTCCCTTTCACACAAAGGCATTTACACTTTCTGTCCCTCTTCCTTCATCCCGATTACATCTTTCTTCTTTCTCATTTAAACTTCAAATAGAGGTTCAGTATTTCTTACTCAGGGTAGCCATTCCCATTCTTTGCATGACAAACATGCTATTGACATGTTCTTCCTTTATGCAATTTATTACTTTAAGATTATATGTTCACATAATCATGTTTGTATCTTTCCCTCTATAAAGTTCTATGATGGGTCTCCTTTGATGTCCAGTTTATACTGCTTAACATTACCTGGTTTACAGGAAATACTCAGTAAAAATGTTTTGAATGATTAGATGGGTGAACCAATTACAAACATATTTATTTTACATTGGGGACCTTTAGATTATAAAAGAGAAGAACCTGACTTGGATAGGAGTTCTGAGATGGCTCTTCTAAGAAAGTGGCATCTGAACTATTTTCTTTGTTTTCTGGAGGGATGAGTCAGATTTTAACTAGCAAATCTGAAGAATCTTTGTGTGGCAATTATTCATGGTACAAAGAAATTTGGTCTTTGTAGGAGCAAAACAAAAACAAAAACAAACAAAAAAAAAACTGTGGCAGAAACACAAAGAGGCAAAGGGAAATTGGCTCTCAGGGATGATAGGCAAGTTTAGGGCCTATTAATTAGACATTACCCTTTTTCTTTCTCTTTAGTGGAGGAAGTAAAGGACTGACTGATTTGTTTATAAAGTCTGGAGTGGAGAGTTCATAAAGACAATGTAATTGTACTCATTTTTTTAGATCAACATATAACATGTACTAGATATATAGCAGAGTGTGAAAAAAAAGAGCAATTTTTATCCTAGTGTCATTCTAAGGGAATTGACTGACAGTTGGCTACCATCTTAAACATACACACAGCATGTTTTATTACATCCTGGTGATAAAGGTTTGTATCACATTGTTCCATAATAGCAAATAATTTAAATTGGTATGAAATCATTACAGGGCCGGTACACAAAAACACACAAACTACTTTTGAAATTTAAGGATCTAGCAGAGATCTATACAATAAAATATATAAATAATCACAAGGCTCTTAAGGCAACTCAATCTTAGGATAGGAGATTACCATTTCTCAAGGGTAAGAAAATCAAATTTCAAATGGCATACCTAGTTGCCATATACTCTAATGTGAATTCTCCAAAATTGCTTTGAGTCATATCACTGAGTCAAAAGTACTTTTCTGCTTGGCTCAGATCTGTAAGTGACTCAACTACCACAAAATTCTTTGCACCTCTTCGACACTTCTGCACACCAGACAAAGTATCTCCATCACCATCAGGAAGTGTAAAAGTGGTCCACAGCTTGGTGTAACCAGATGTTCTTTATTCAATCAGAGGATACGTCTTCATAAGTGTCAAGGTCTCTCCCATCATAAGGATCAAGTGAACTGCCTGCACTGAGTCTGAGACCACACCTCCCTGAGTGCTTCTAATGGCATCATCAGAGTTGGAAAAGCAGTCCTAGGAACCTTTCCTACACACAGCATACACAGGTTGACTATCAGCCTTTGATGCAAGAAGTTACATCTACTTGGACACTTATATCCCTCTTGAGGCTCCCCACATCATTAGCCCCATACTTTTGTGCCATCCCTGTTCTCTCATATTCCATCTCCATAAACTCCACAGTATTCTGGGTTGCTCTGAGTTCTGTCTGATTACATGAATCCTTCCATGTGCCTTCTGCAATTCAAAATCCATTATTAGCAAAATTGCCTTCATCTTCTTCCACAACAGAAACCTAGCATAGCTCTATAAAAATTGAGACTGTGTTTTCTTTCGAGTCCCTGCATCTTGGAACTTATGTGATAAAGGATAAGATAATTTTGAATGTTATAACAGGAAAAAAAGAATTGGACCCAAGCCTATTTATGGATGTACAATGAATTTAGCACTACTCAGAGAAAGAGTTGATGTTTGAAGGGGATTCACCCATAATTAAATAGAAAGAATATTTTGGGGAAAAAAAATCAAGCATAGTAAGTGGGTTACCAATAATGTGCAAAGTGACATATATCCAAATAGTAAGATACAGCTGTATGTGCTATGCTGGTATAACATCAGAAAAATAAGTGAACTAATTTGACCGTAGCTTGAACTAAAATTTCTTATTTAGTGATCTACTACATAGCCGAGCATAACCTCACTTTATGCTTTCTTACAAAATGGAAAATTATATCACTCAAGTATTTATATAAATACCCATAAAGAACCAACAAGGTAGGAGAGATGCTGATTCCCTCATCAGTCCTTTAAACTTGCAAGGCATCTTCCTAAATCAAATGCCTAAATCAGAACCTTTGCTTTTGTTTCTCTCATTGTCTAGAAAGCTCTGCCCCAGATATCCACATTTCGTTCTCTCATTTCTCACAGAGTTTGTCTATTTTCATAGATATACACACATAGAACATGACTCTCTCCTGATGGGTGCACACTTACACTTTTTTATGAATTAATGAATAATAACAAATTCCCTGAGGATTTAGCCAGTTTGGTTTGTGTTTGTTTGTCTTCCCTAAAGCCACTGTGACTATTAACCAGAAATCATTAATTCATTTTGTTTAAATAAACAAAAATCTCCTCCCAGTGTAGATTCAATGTTCGATTTTACATAGAGTAAATGACATGTTGATTTTGATGTTCACATATTATTGGCTTAATTATGCAATTATTGATCCATATTGATTATCTCAAAGAGAAGCCACAGTTTTTGAAATTTATAATTTTAACCAACGCAGTACAGATTTTAAAGGAAATATACTTTAAGCATAAGCAAGAATATTATTTCTGTAAATCACATCTGACATTTACCTTTAAAGTAATAGTTTTATAAATGGTGAGAGAGCCATATAGAACTCTTATTCTATAAATAGAACAGCAGCAACAAAACAAATGCGCAAAGAGATAAGCAAGATATTACAATTTGTTAGGTAGATAAAAACCAAACATAAAACCAACTAAACAAAACCAAAAAGCTGCCCTGACTCCATAAAAAAAGAAGTTCAGACTTTTTCAATATGGTTCTTGCTAAAGGGCAACCAAACAATGAAAAAGTTATTCTGAATATTATAAGAAATCAAATGAATTCTAAGTAGGTTTTGGATATTTTTAAAACTTGTAAAATTTCCCCTCTGATACCCATTCGTTTGGTCTGTGTATTTATAGCTCCCATTCTGTTTTCTGTGTTTATTTACTTGTTTGTTTTGTTTTAGTTTTGTTTTAGTTTTTTTAAGATTCCACGTGAGTGAAATCATGTGATAGTTTTTTTTTTTCCTCATGACTTATTTCACTTAGCATAATAGCCTCTAGTTCTATCCAGGTTGTAGCAAGTGGCAGAGGGGAGGGGAGAAAAGGGAGGGACAAAATGGGTTAAGTGGAGAGGGAGACATAGGCTTCCAGTTATGGAATAGACATGTCACAAGAGTAAAAGGCCCAGCATAAAGAATATAGTCAATGATAGTGTAATAGCATTGTATGACGATAGATGACAGCTATACTTGTGGTGAGCATAGCTTAATGTATAAATTTGTTAAATCACCATATTGTACACCTGAAATTAATGTAACATTGTATGTCAACTACATTAAACCAAAACAAAAGTGTACATTTTCTGCTTCATTCTTGAGGCATTTTGATGAGTACATCTATAATTTTGTGTATTCCTGGAGTGGGTGTGAGCATATAGCTTATGACCGGTATTATAAAATACTTTGAGTGTCATCAGAAGTCAACTTACAGAGAGTGTTGTAACAGAACTTTTATTGTGGAATAAATTTAGAAAATTTGTAGCATAAAAATATTGAAATAAACATTAGTGTTTGATTATTAGGAATGTTTCCTTATAAGTATTGCTGCAAAGTAAATAAAAATAAATAATAAAATGTCTTATACATAAGGCAAGCCAGACCTTTCGAAGGGAATTTAATGTTCATCTTTTATCTTCTTTCTAGTGTGGCTTGCTTCTGTCATTGTATACACTATATCCGATATCTTTTGGAAACCTTATTTGTCCATAAAGTTTCTGCAGGACATACACCTTTGAGAAATTTGATAAAGGTGGGGATTGGTATGTTTTGTCATTTTAATTACTATTGAGAAATTTTATGTATTGGGTCATCCATCAAGGAATACAATCATGTTTATTTATCTTATGCTAAGATTTTTCCGTTCAAGTGTATCAGCACATCTTAAACAGCTGTTCCTGAGATGTCACTTCCTCCGTGACCTATTTTATTGGAGCTGGCCTCAACCAATAACCCTACAGAGAAGATTTGCCACGTCATTTCATTACAGGCCACATATGCTCAGTCACATTCAATTTTGGAAATATGTAGCATTTCAGACTCTTTAAGTGGCACTTGAAGAGGAGGGATGTCGTATACAAATCCTCCTTCAAATACATGTGTGTGTGATTAAAATGATGAAACTACATTCTGTATTGATGACAGTTGTCAGTTAGATGACAGTGTCTTTGCTCTTCCAAAAATGGTGAGTGCAAGAGTTAATAACCATCCCATCAAAGACTTGTCAAGAAAGTGGGAAGTTTTATGAAATATTAAAGTGGAAATGTACATGATATAACACAGTGCAATTCAATTTTCCAACTCTATTTCCAATTGACTAATTTAAAATTGACTTTCAGTAGGAAATAGTTCCTTATTTAAAATGTCCTGGGTTTTTTTTTTTTTTTTTTTTTTTGGCAAATACCGGTTTTGTAGAACTTTCAACAAGCCATTTTATTGTTGTCATTGTATTAAACCAATTAATTCTAACACTCTCAGAAACCTCAAAAATCATTTAGACTAGCTTCTCTTCTGGTAAAAGACATTAAGACTTATCATATCAGTACAGGATCAGTATTGTAGCCTAGGACTTGTAAAACTAGGGCATTTCCCTTTATATTCTATCAAGACCTGTTTTACTAATGATTAAATAACTCATTCTTTTATTCATTTACTGATGGAAAATGAATATTAATGTATTTTATTTAATACATTCTTATTTTATGCTTTCATTCATATTTATTTTTATTTTTTATTTTTTAAAATTTTTTAATGTTTTATTTATTTCTAGGAGAGAGAGAGAGAGACAGCGTGAGCAGGGGAGGGTGAGAGAGAGAGGGAGTCACAGACTGAAACAGGCTCCAGGCTCTGAGCTGGCAGTCAGCACAGAGCCCTACGTGGGGCTCTAACCCACGAACCTCGAGATCATGACCTAAGCGAAAGTCGGACGCTTAACCGACTAAGCCACCCAGGCGCCCCCTTTCATTCATATTTATTACTTGATAGACAAAAACCACTCTTGAAAGATATTCCTAAAATATATTGTTACATTTGCCTTATATCCTAAATACCCATTTATATTAATAAGGGCTGAGCAAAGTAATGCATTTCCTTAGTGATATCAAATAGGTACATGTAAAATACTATTTTATTGTGTGAGGAAGCATTTCATTTATCTAGCTTAGAACATTTATACCATTTTTCATATTAAAAAAGCTGCTGTGTTGCATATAAGTATATGGGATAATTTCAAATGGTGTGATAGATTTTATATATATTCCCTAACTTTTATTATGTTTTATTTATAGGGCTGTGCCTTTTATTGGGGATTTACTTCTTGGATTGCCTACTATATTAATCATCCACAGTATACACCACCATGTATGTATGACTTCTTTCTAATTAAATCCATACTAAGTTGCCAACATTAAGACTCTCTTCTTAACTACACAGAAATGATGAAACATGGTACACTTAAAACATAAGCAAATAATGAAAACCTGTCAATTTAAGTTACTTCTATATAATACTCCATTAAATTTTTATGTATACTTAAAAGACCAAGTTGACTGGCATTGATTCATTTTCTTTCCATAGGGATGCTAGCAAAAATATGAGTTGGTTGTAGATCTCCAGAGACAGATAATAAAAATGAAAGGGTGAAGATTAAAAAGAAAAATTCCGTATCATCACACAATCACATGAAATCAACTGTCTGGATTTTAAAAATAAATAATAAATATGTAATTAAAATACTAAATATAATTCAGTAAGAAAAATGTAAACAATTTGTTTCTTACTATTTTCTATTTATAACTTTATTAAATATCCTGGCTATTGACTCAGATGAAGCAATTTGGTGGAAAGCACAATGGACCAACCCTAAATTCTTAGCTCCTAAACTTGGAGGAAAATAGCTGTACCAAACAAAGAATCCCATTTCTTTTTTTTGCTGTGGACTTTTCTCTCCTCAGCTTTTACTGCAGCCCACAAGGCACACATAAGGCTCTAGTGCGAAAGGGTTGAGGCTTCAAATTTAATTGATAATTATTTTCTGTGGTCTATTTCTGGTGTTTTTAAAGTTTGAAATAAATAGAAATGAATAGAGTATTCAAGCTTTATTTTAGATTTTACAAAATCAGTAAAACTGCCTTAATATACACTTGAAGGACCAACACAGAATCTTTGTTAAGATCAAGACATCTAGCTGAGCTTGCTGAGTCAATCATTGCAATGTTCAAAACTTTAATTCTTCTAAATACTAACGACTATGAATATTGAAGGGAGAAATTTCCTAACCTCATATAACTCTGATACTTAAAAATGCTTTATCAGAATATATACCTATTAACTTTAGAGCATTAACAGATAGATATTTTTGCTCCATAATATGTTAGAAGAGAAGCCTCTGAGAAATACTACATTCACATATCTTATACAAAATAGAGGTTGATTGTTGTTAACATATTTGAAGTATTTATTGAAAACCAAATGTTTGTCAAGAATTGTAAAATTGCTATTAAGAAACATTATGATGTAAGTGTTAATACTCCCTATTACAGATTAGGAAAATGAGATCTTGAAAGTCTGATTTTGCTGGCTCAAGACTCTCAAATGCATTAAGGTATAAATAGGAAACAAATTCCGTGAACATATATACAGCAATATAATACTGATTCCAACTGGAAAGTGAATATCATATAAAGTCCTATTCTCAACAGATTTGACTGCATAAAATTAATGGTATCTGTGCACTTACACACATTAATTTAAATAAAAACCAACATATTATTATATATTTCCAACACATATACCATTAAGGAGGTCATATTTCTTACTTCTTAAAAATATTTAAAGGTAAATAGGAACAAAATTATCATAACTGAAAACTGCCCAATGACAGGAATATTCCATTAACTGCAAACTAGAATGCATATGTTCAGGAAACTCAATACATATGTTTCGTATCAGCAGCAATCAAGGAAAATGGCCTTTTTAAAAATTCTAAATATGAAACATTATAACAATTATAAAAATGTTACAGAAAGCTTGCATGATGGCTAAATTATTTTCTGGAAGGTTTGTTTCAAATTATACTATTTGTACCTTTGCTTTTTGGAAATAATCATTAAAAATATTTAAAAATTATACTCTTTGTCCCAGTACTTGTTTTAATCATATCATTATTTATTCTCATTAAAAAATGGAAACAAGGTATAGCTTCACTGTCCTGTTACATGAAATGTTCCAAAATCCTCTCTTGTCTATGCTAATATCTATGTATTTTCTAAATCGAGTACAATTGTGTAGTCAGAGTCCTTCCTCATGTCCTTCATTAAAGTAAATCCTTCATTTTAGCTTTTACATTAAATACTATACAGGTCTTTCTTAGTAATACTTATTAGGGTTACAAACTTCCATTTGTTATATTGCGATCATTGTTTCCTTGTCAAACAGTAATTTTTATCAAGATAAGAGTTGCTTTTGGCTTAATTTTAATTGATTTATCACAAGTACATACTATAGTGCCTGTCACATAAATTCTTAATACCTATTGTTGAATGAATGAAGTTTTGTCTACAAATAAAAAAATATTTGATTCAGCTATAGAAGACTGTTTAATTATATGGCAAATGTGCTTAGTTATATGGCAAATGTAACATTAAGAAATAAGTGATTATAAAAGTGTTTTATCATATACTGTAAAAATATATAGAAAATATGTATAACTCCAAGGAAAAATCTGAATTTTAATTGTTCTACCATGGTTAATGGGATTTTTATGCATTATATTTCTCTTTACTCTTTTATCTCCCAAATTTTCTCCATTTGTTTTTTTATTTCATAATTAGATATATGAACTTAATAAAAACAAAATCTCCAACATTTCTACATGTTTTGTGTGTACATGCATAGATACTGATGTAACTTTTGACTATATTATACTTTCAAATTTCTAGCCCAAGGAAATAGAACTTCCATAAAAGTCTTATAAAGAAAGGTGTTTGAAGTTGTATTACCTATCATACATAAAATTAAAATAACACTAATTATGCAGCAATTAGATAATATCTAATATTTAGAGCTAACCACATTACACATTATGATGCAGATGGTGTCATAGCTTTTGCAATGAATGCTTAATAACATTGGAAAAGCCTTTAAATGTATTCTTATAAAATATGCCAGATTTAAAATAAGACATTATATTTTTATTTGTAAATGTGTTTGCATAAATACAATTTACAAGTATAAACACTCACATAAAACTAGAAAAAATGCAACTGTTAATACAGGTGCTGAGCTTATAAGAAAATTTTATTTTTAATACTTTTGTATATTACAACTTTTCTACCATGAGAAAAGTGACTTTAAGACACTATCTTAAATTCTACTTTATTAATTATTCATATATGATTTGGGAATTGATATAACTCATATTTTTCTTTACTTTAAGATGAGAGCATTAAATCTACCTCATATATTTGTTTCTAGATGAAAAATATAAAACACTTAAAATAATGCCTGTTAGAAAACATCAATGAGAAAAATTAAAATTATTATTATTAGAATTTTTCTTTTAGTTGTTAAACATTAAAAAACATGACATATCATCGGATGCAATATTAGGCCATATGATACGTATGTATGTATTTATTTATAAAGGAAACATTTTCTTTTTTTAATTTAAATTTTAGTTAGTTAATATACAGTGCAATATTGGTTTCAGAAGTAAAATTTAGTGATTCATCACTTACATACAATATCCAGTGCTCATCACAGTGCACTCCTGAATACCCTTTACCCATCTAGCCCCTCTCCTACCCACCTCCCTCTGTCAACCCTGTTTGTTCTCTATCATTAAGAGTCACTTGTAGTTTGTTTCCCTTTCTTCTCTCCCTTCCCTTATTATTTGTTAATATGTTTTGTTTCTTAAATTCCAAATATGAGTGAAATCATATATTTGTCTTTCTCTGATTGATTTATTTCACTTGGCATAATACCTTCTAACTAAAGAGGTAAAAGATCTATACTTTGAAAACCATAGAATATTTATGAAAGATACTGAAGAACACACAAAGAATTGGAAAAACATTCCATGCTCATGGATTGGAAGAACAAATATTTTTAAAATGCCTATACTACCCAAAGCAATCTGCACATTTAATACAATCCCTATCAAGATATCGCCAGTATTTTTCACAGAGCTAGAACAATTCTAAAATTTGTATGGAATGACAAAGGCCCTGAATAGCCAAAGCAATCGCGAAGCAGACAAACAAAACTGGAGGCATCATGATTCCGGATTTCAAGCTAGATTACAAAGCTGTAGTCATCAAGACAGTATGGTACTGGCACAGAAACACACATACATCAATGATGTACTTTTAAAGTGACAAATGAGAAGTCAAATCTGCCTTCAAAGAGTTTAATAATACGAGTTAAAGGTAGATTCCATTTGTATTCTAAATATCATTAGGTAACTAGAAAAAAAGTACATGTGGAAAGCAAAAATATTTCATCCTTTTAAACTGCTAATGCATTACTCCCAAAGGTCAATTATATGCAGCATAATACTTTGGATGAGAGGATAGTAATATCCAATAAATACTGCTTCAGTTATGTCTATAATGTGACAATTCATAATGTGAATGTTTTCATTACATCCTCTTTTCCTACTTTCTAGCATTTGGAAACCGTCAAGTCACAATATCTGCTATCAATTTTTTGGTATGTATTATTTATTTATTTATTTATTTATTTGCTATTCATGCTTAACTGAAGTGTTATTAAGAATGCAAAACAAATATTTGATGATTTACCATGTACAAAATATGATCTTTTTATATTATATACTTAATGCTATTAAGTGAAATAGGTCAAACAACTTCCCCAAATCAAGCCATATCTCTCCAAATCTTTTTTTTTTTTAGGGCTCTAAATCTTTTTAAGTTTATTCATTTACTTTTATGAGAGAGATTGTCTGCACACTTATAAACCTCTAACAGCAAAAAGTTTTAAAATTATAAAAGATGAACATCTAAAAAACACTTTGGTGGGGCATCTGGGTGGCTCAGTCCATTAAGCATTGGACTTCAGCTCAGGTCATGATTTGTCAGTTCAAGCCCCATTTCAGGCTCTGTGCTACAGCTCAGAGCCTGGATACTGATTTGGATTCTGTGTGTTTCTCTCTGCTCTTGCCCCACTCACTCTTGGTCTGTCTCTCTCTTAAAAATAAATAAGCATTAAAATTTCAAAATAATAACAATAATAAAATTTTAAAAATAAAAAACACTTTGGCATAAGTGTTAATTAATTCTGAATGAAAACAAAATCTGCTTTTTGAATGAATTGCAGATCTTTTCTAATTGTTTTCTATCCAGTTATTTAAATTATTCTATTTAACTTTACATATGCATTGTTTGAATTGGGTACACATCCACCTGAGTGCAAAAGATCATTTAGTATTTCTGAAGTGCATTATTTTATTAGGCACATATAATACACCATAGATTTCTACCATATAACTCATGCTTTTATTGTTTGTTCATGTTCTTCCTCATTCCTGTCCTTGATAGATTAACTCCTGTGATTCATGCTCCTGATGTATTGATGAATTACTTTGATTCATGTATAAGTCTATATCCTTTGTGAGGTTTGTATTAGACAACTTAAACTTTCACATTTCATATAAGGCACAAATCACATACCACATTTTGTTCAATGGTCTCATGTAAACCTGTATGTGTGTGTGTGTGTGTGTGTGTATGTGTGTGTGCATTTTAATTAATAGTTTAGATAATAAGGCCCTCTACTTGTTGGCTGTGGCAGGTGCAGGTCACGCTTTAATATTTTTAACACCTGGTCTTGTGCATAGTAGAAATACTACTTTCTTGAATGAATAACAAGAACCATTTATTTATCATTTCTTTTTAAATGTTTGTTTATTTTGGAAAAGAGGAGGTAAGAGGAGGGAGAGAGGGGGACAGATGATCTGAAGCAGGCTCTGTGCTTACATCAAAGAACCCAACACAGGGCTTGACCTCACAAACTCCGAGATCATGACCTGAGCCAAAGTTGGACGCCTAATGGACTGAGCCACTCAGGCGCCCCATTTTTATTCATAATTTCTTAAATGTATATTTAATGCATATTTAAGTATATATTTAATTTTCCACATGTGTATATTATTCATAGTAAGGCTTCAGTTTGTTTTGATGTCTTTATTGCTAATCAACATTGTACCAAGTCTAATGATCTCTGTATATTAACTTCTCAGTAAATTTGAGCAAATGGAAGAATTAGTGGATAAAGAAAACAATAACCACATATTTGGCTTTTATTTTGATATATTTTTAGTTTCATACCTGATTATTTTTCTCATGTTTATTCTCCTTATAATGTTAACCACTATACAAGAGTTTTGTAACTTGCTTTCAATTATTTCTGTGTAAATATTTACACATATCCCATTTATATAATATTATTGATTCTTTCCTTTTTTCAAATGTGGTATAGCCACAAATCTATGGCTCTAGTATAAAACAATTTTTTTAAGTTATAGCTGTTTAAAAATGTCATAGCAATTATAATAATTTAAGTGTAAAAAAGGAATAATTGGAAACAAGCAAAATTCAAATAGCTTGCTCTATACATTTTTTCCCAGGACTTTTAAAGATGTTGCCTCCTAATTAAGCTACTAGTGATCATTCTTCACACATTCTTTTATTAATCAATGTTTCTTTATACATTTCACTTGGGGGGTAATAAGAAGGAGGAGAATGAGGCAAGTCAAAAAATTTCATCATAATTGCCCTCTTATAAGGGCCAATGTCTCAAAATAAACAAATAGTGATACATAGTAGCATTGACTAGGTCCAATATAGACAGCAGGTAAACACAATGACTTTAATTCCATATTTCTAAGCACATAACAAACATTGACTGTCTTGATCCTAGAGTTAAATTAAGATAAAAAGAACCATCTGTGTTTTCAATTATAGACAGTATTGAGTATATGAGAAAAAACTTGTTTAAAAGTCAAAATTTTGAATTTTGTCTATTCTGTTGTAAATATGCATTTAGAAATAAAGTAGAAGGGCCACTGCAACTGTCTTAACATTATACATTGTGATGGCAAATTAAAAAGGTCTGTTAGCCCTGGAATTTCTTAATAATGTTGGATGCGGGCAAAACATTTAATTTTCAAGAATAAAATATATTAAGATGTAAGTTTTAGGAAACTGATTCTAACACAGAATGTAGTAACAAATGGGTTGAGTTTGCACATTTATCACCTAAATTGAAGATACCTACCATAGTACTATGAGCATAACATTCTGTATTTCAAGGTTAATTTTCTTCATTCATAATAAATAAATGCCTAATTGTGTGCCTTTCACATTTATCAAAAACATGCATACGCAAATAGTTTGGAAAGAAAAGCATCTTTTTTTTTCTAAGAGTTTCTTTTTATGTAATCTCTGAACTCAACATGAGCCTCCAATCTGCAACCCTGAGATCAAGAGTTGAGTACTCTATTGACTGAGCCAGTCAGGTGGCCCACAAAGCACATGTTTTGTTTGTTTGTTTGTTTTTTTAATGTTTTATTTATTTCTAGGAGAGAGAGAGACAGCATGAGTAGGGGAGGGTCAGAGAGAGAGGGAGTCACAGACTGAAACAGGCTCCAGGCCCTGAGCTGGCAGTCAGCACAGAGCCCAATGCAGGGCTCAAACCCACGAACCGTGAGATCAAGACCTAAGCGAAAGTCGGACGCTTAACCGACTAAGCCACCCAGGCGCCCCACAAAGCACATGTTTTTAAGTCAAGTGCATTTAAAATATTTTATATTAAGATTATCAGCATATATTATAATCAACTATTATTATGTAAAGAAACAGAGGGGAAATTCATAGGTCAATCTTGTGTAGTATAAAGTTTGACAAGAAAATGCCTATCTTGCAAGTGCTAATTTTTCTACAAATGTTTGCAAAACTTCCTATTTTTCATTTATTGATATATATGCCCTCTTAATCTAAGAAAAAAATGCTTTATTCAAAATTGGTTTTGCTTCTGTTGTGTTGAACAAGATTACCACCTGGGTAGAAGACAATGTATGAGAACTATGTTTAATATGGTCATAGTTCTTTTTTTAAATTTTTTTAAAAGTCTTTATTTCATGTTGAGAGACAGAGACAGAGAGCAAGAAGGGGAGTGACAGAGAGAGGGGTAGATACAGAATCTGAAGCAGGCTCCTGGCTCTGAGCTGTCAGCACAGAGCCCAACACGGGGCTCGAACCCATGGAGTGTGAGATCATGACCTGAGCCGAAGTCGGATGCTCAACCGACTGTGCCACCCAGGCGCCCCTGGTCATAGTTAGTTCTTAATGACTTCTGGTTGAATCAGGCATTTAGTGGACTATTAACAAATAATTTTCTTTTATTTATTATTTTTATGAAATTTATTTTGAGACAGAGACAGAGCATGAGTTGGGGAGGGGCAGAGAGAGAGGGAGACACAGAATCTGAAACAGGCTCTAGGCTCTTAGCTGCCAGCACAGAGCCCGTCGCGGGGCTCGAACCCACGGACTGTGAGATCATGACCTGAGCCGAAGTAGGACGCTTAACCGACTGAGCCACCCAGAAGCCCCAACAATTATAATTTTCTCTTTTGCTTCTGCCTTCTGTTTTTTTTTTTTCTAATGCCATTTTGAGCAAAATATACTGTAAGCAAAACAACACACTTAAAACATTCCAAAGTGGAGTATAATTCCTTTTGGAAACTTCTTGATTTTTGTGAGTTTTGCCATGTTTATATTATATTCTAAGAAGTAGTTTATCACCTCCCTCTCTGTGTAAGTTCTTTCTGACTTTCGACATGACACTGTTCTCTCAAATATGTTCTGAAATCACAAAATCTATAAGTGAAAAAAACCAAATAACTAGAATCAAATATACGCAAATTTTTGAAGACATCAGAATATCTTTCCCCACAACTTTCAGATCTAACTTTGTTTTTCTGCTAGAAATGATATGGACAAACACTATACTGCAGTGTCTTTATATTTCTATGACCTCTCTTCATTCTCTGAACTCAAGTCCACCCGCAAGGAAACAAAATCACTATTTCAAAACAAAATATATTCTATCATTTTTAATATTTTGCTATTTTATATATAATATTCTTGTTTTCTTTATCCTCTCTTCCGCTCAGTTTAGTTTTACTCTCCAACAGCAGTTGTGGTTTATCAATTCTTTGTACAGTGAGCACTTCACCAGAAGAGGATTTTTTTTCTCCTGAATTTCTTACTTTCTTCAACAATGTAGGAAATGAGAGAATTGATAACATGATTTGCAAAATACTGAAAATCACTCTTCTCCCTGGTTTTGCCTGTGTGTCTTCAGTTTCACCATTAGTTATCCACTCATTTAGGTTAAATTTTATTATTAAAATGCAAATATTCTTGGAGAAGTAATAAATTATGCTCTTATCAAGCAGTCACACCATCTCTCCTAACACAAAACCAAGAAGGACCTTGGGCATAGAAGAGTAATCTTTGATTAGGGGAGAGGATGCTGGGAACACTATATCATAGCATTTAACAAGGCTGTTCTATGGAAACTGCAGTAAGACCAGGAAACTGCTTGAATGTTTTGTATTTGTGGAAGAGATAAATAAGGGATGAAAAGTGTGCCAAAGGTAATGCTGTCATTCTCAGCATTGTGCTCAG